GACTGTTTGGGTGTAAGAGGATGTAGAAGAAAGCATCTTTTAGGTCTAAAACTCAATAGTGGGAAGTATCAGATGGTATCTGAGGCAAGAGAATATAAAGGTTTGGAACCACAGGGTGAAGAGGAAAAACTGCCTCGTTGACCAGTCGGAGGTCCTGGACTAATCTCTATTTATCAGGTCCCCTCCTAACTCCCCAAATAGGGCTATTGTAACTGGCCTCAATGGGTATTGTTTGTGGTGGGAAACTGAGAGAGGTCCTTAAGACAGATCAAAGCCAGAGATGCCGTTTGAGCTGTCCTTACCAAGTGTCCATTCTTTCCATATGGAAGGAGCTACCCGTGAGTCTATTAGCAGCAAGCAGAAATATTCTCCTTGGGTAAAAGAAGCTGAACCCTCAGTTGAACTATTAAAAGGACTGACAGAAGTTGAGATCTCCCCAGGAGCAGGCAAGTGGATGGGTGAGATAATGTTCTAAGGGCTGGCCTGATATGCCCAAACGGTGACCTTGTTTGGGGATCTAGATCCTCCAGGAGATAAGGAGATAGATGAAAAGCATTCTCCTGTATCGAAAAGGAAGCTGATTTTGTACTTTTCAACTGTGATAACAACTCTGGGCTTCTCAGTTTGTATGGTCATCACAAGAGCCTGGATGGAAGGTCCTGGGACCTGTCATTGCTTGAATGATCATGTACCTGACTCTGTCAAGAGCCAAGGGCAGCATGTCTTCCAATGGATCCCCTTACAAATGGGGCATGGTCCTGGAGGTTGTTTATTCTTCCAGGAGGACTCCCTCCAGTAATGGCCCTCCTGCCCACATTGGAAGCAGGTCCATGGGCTTGGACCTAGTCCAGAGGAAGCTACCTATAGTGCGGCAATCAAAGCCTCCTGAGGTTTATCTTTTTTCCAGATCCCTATTATAGGATACAGATGTAGCTGTCCATACCAATTGGTCCAGATCCTTGCTCCCCTCTGCCACCAGTTTTTGAAGCTTTCTACAGAGCTGAATTGTAAGGAACTTGGCCTTCAGGATGATCTTCTCCTACTGTGACCCTGGTATCACATTAGTATGCTTTTGTAGGGCACCCTTGGGAGGGGTGTTTTATTGAGTCCCCTCAGATTAGGATAGATTTTAGGAACTCTCCAGATGGGAGAATTCCCTTCCCAGGGGGTGGTCCCTTGGGGGTCTTGGTAAGTGGGGAGGGTCTAGGGGAGCCTCTGGACCTTGTTGCTCCAGAGATTGGGAGGTTCAGAAGAGAGTCCCCTACAGAGAACAATCAAGGTCTGGGAGTCCAGCTCACATTCCTCTAGTCATTCTGAGTGGTTCCTCAGGTAAAAGAAAAGCTGAACATATGGAACCTCTACCCATTTGACCTCCTTTTTACAAAATAAGTCTACCTGTAAGATGGTATTGTAACTAATGCTTCTCCCTTCTGGCCATTTCTCCTGATCTCCCAGAGAGTGTTGGGGCCAGGCCTGAGTGCAACAGAAGATGGGGATCTTCTTTCACAGATTTTCTGGGTCAAGATTCCTCCAGTGTTTCAACAGATAGGCAAGAGAGGATCCCTCAGGCACTCGGGAAGCGTGAACTTCCATCCAAAAAGAGGGATAAGGAATTGGTCACTTTGAGGATTCCCTTTTTCCAGGTGTCCCCATATTGTGGAAACCTCCCACTCAGAAGAAGTCATCCCATTCTCCTTTCACTTTTTCCTCTGCATACCTACAACTAAGGTTGGGGAGAAACATGGGGGTCTGTCTGGAATAAGCCATCTTACAGGTGTGACCCGGACCATTCCTTTGCCTGTTTGCCTTATCCCATATCTGGCTCTTTTCTAAGAATGGAAGCTTTTATTTCAAATATGGTCCTATTTATAAAGTGCTGAAGAACGACCAAAAGAGCCTGCATGGATAGAGAAAGGAAACTCAGGGGGCCTGTCGGTGTTGTTTCCCCTCCCAGATAGTCTTGAAAATTGGGGGTCACTCAAAGAGACACATGAGTCATCTAGACGTGTCAAACAAAATGTGACAAAACTATAAGAGTGGTTATTTCTATGGCTAAATCCCCCTCTTTCTTGGAGGGTAGACCACAGGGACATGCTCAGCTAAGTGTCAGGCATACACAGCATTTCCAGGTCAGAGAATATGTCATGCAGTGAGCCCAATCAAAAAGGGGACTGCACGAAGGACATGGGTGTTCTCAGGGGACAGTCGAGTGACTATGCCTTGGACAGCAATGTGTAGGGACTTTTCCCAGGCCTGACTGAAAAACAAAGCCCATTGTTGTCTAGGACAGAGAGGGCAACCACTTATTCTGACCCACAGAAGGATAGAGGACAGAAGTGAAAGAGAGGAGAGCAAAATCGAAAGCATTGGTGCACTGGGGTTTCAACCCTGCTGTCATAGCATATGGCAGTCAGATATAAACACCTGGCCAGCTCCCAGTTTCTCGGGTTGCCTACCTGTTAGCTGTGGAGGACATTGGGCATCTATCCCAGGTTCCTGAGGGAAAATCTTCCCTATCAAGGGAAATGAGTCAGCAGGGAGTTTGACCATGCTAAGCATGGTCGGGGATATCCCCCTGGGAGGAGAAGTCCACCAGTGTGCTGGATGATCATGGTCACTTCCTAGGTAATTTCCCCCAGTTTGGCATGACTTATACTGACCTTGCAATGTTGAAGCAGGACCCCTTGACTCAAGCCTGTGCTGGGAACCAAGAATGATGCAAGAAGGTGCTCAGCTAACATGGATCCTTGTTCTCCATTTCTTTAAAGAATAAAGATAAGAATGAAAGTGAAAGTGAGCAAGAGTTTTATTGAGAAATGAAAGTAAAGGCCTCTTGCTGGAGAAGCACAGAGGCGGCACTCAGAAACTGGTAGTCCACTGAGGCATGGGGGGGGTTCCTTTTTATAGACCCGATGATGCCCTCGTCCTGTTCCACTCCTCTCTCCCCACTGGGCCCTGGGTTGGTCTCTCAAGGTAGTCTCTCGAGGTGTTGCCCAATTGCCATAACTGCCAGCCACTGATCAGTTCTGTTGCGTAGCATTTGTGTAAGGCGTTCTGGGCAGAAGACGACTTGTTGCACTTCCTCGATTGCCATTTTTAGGATGGTTTCAGCAGTCTTTTCCTTCACATCTTTCCAGAACAGGCCACAATGTACTACTTAGTCCAACTAGTCCCCACCTCCTTTTCACCTTATTCAATAATGTTGTCATATTATGAATCCAATAAGCAATCCATTGATTAGGTCAGAGCTCTCAGGATCCAATCACTTCCCAAAGGCCCCTCAGCTTTGCAACCAAGCGCTAAAACATGAGCCTGTGGAGGACATTTCATATTCAAACCATAACAATTTTTGTTTGTCAGGCCAAAAATTATAGTGTGTATCCAGTGGAAAATTAATAGGATGATCAGGGCTTTAAGACCATATTTCATATGAAAAAGTTAAAGGAACAAAGAATGGTTAGCTTGAAAAGAACAAAATCTTAAATTGGATGTGGTGATGTACACCTATAATCCCAGCACTTAGGAGACTGAAGCAAGGGGATCAAGTGTTTGAAGCCAGCCTGTGCTACATAGCAAGACTTTGTATCAAAAATAGTTGGTATTGAATTTGTAGATTCATCTATTTCTCCTGTCATTCTGACAGTTTTTTCTCTGTGTGTTTTTATTAGATTAAATAATTACTCATAATAATCGAAATTCATTAAAATATGTCATACTGAAGCTGTGCATAGTAGCACACGAATCTCTAACCCAGCTACTCAAACAAACAAACCAATAGAAAATGTGTTAAATTGTATAAATTACTCTGCTTCGAATCTTGCTTATCCAGCTAGGGAATGTAGGTCAGTGATAGAACACTTGCCCAGTATGCATGAAGCCATTGGCTACATCCCCAGCAATGCTTAATTAATTAAAATAATAAAAAGAAAAGAGCAAAATCATTGAATATTAGAGTTGAGAGACGACATCATTCAGTTCCCTTCCTTATGTAGATGAAATAGTTAAATGAATTGATGGAAGTCACAGAGCTAGTTTGTGGCAGTACAGAAAGAAGAATACAAGCTTTCTGACTCCTTTCACAAGGACACCTCAAAACTCCTGCTCTTCTTGTTCTCTGAATCCATGCTTCTTAAAAAGCATACAGAACACAAAAGCATAAAGTTTTTAACATGGAGCCTCCAAACAGAAACAACCACCAAGTGTTATTTCCTATTTTCATCAGTTGTTTCCCATCATGACCACCAGTAAGTAAGGAGATGACTATATCTAGAGTTGATCATCATTTTGAAATGGATATCTATATAAGCTTCTTTAGAAGGCTGGATGAGAACACATGAAAACAGATTATAAATTCATGTTTTAGCAAAAAAAAAAAAAAACATAAGGAGAAACATCTTTCTAATGAGTAGAATTGTCTGACAGTATAAAAGGCTGTACTCAGAACATAGTTTCTCATCATAGGCTGTATTCAAGCAAGCCAGGTGGAAATCAAATTAAGGTTCCCTCCAGAATTTTCTTAATGAATGGAAGTCAGGATTAAATTACTTCTAAGAGTCTGTTTTTAGCTCACAGGTGATGGGAAGAGGAAAAGTATGTATCTGATGCAATGTTTAAGAAGACTAATCATCGTAACAACAAATTGGGAAGGAAGAAATTCAGCAGGAAGCTAACTAGGAGCTGTAACATTTTGAACTATCAACGTAAAATCTCAGAAAAGTAAATTGTAGATCAACCAAAAAGCTTTGGAGTCCTTTCTACATTTAGCTCACCTCTCCTCACAAAACTGTTCACATACTGAGTTGCCAAGCTACTTAGAATTCTGCTCCTAGACAATCTCTTCATAATTCCCCATAACTGGTACTTCTTCCAATTTCAGTGGCCACTCAACATGGGATCTAGAAGACCAAGGCACTGGGAAGGGGATAAACAATAGCTCAGAATCAAACTCTGTTCACTTGAAATGTTAATGTATCTTTTTCATTATTCTCTTCTCTCTTTAGGTTATGTTGACATTGGGCTCATTCCCAAAGGGGCAAGGGACATAAGGATAATGGAAGTCAAAGCAGCTGGAAACTTCCTGGCTATTAGGAGTGAAGACCCAGAAAAGTATTATCTCAATGGAGGATTTATTATCCAATGGAATGGGAACTACAAGCTAGCAGGGACCATCTTCCAGTATGACAGAAAAGGAGACTTGGAGAAACTGATGGCCCCAGGTCCCACCAATGAGTCAGTGTGGGTCCAGGTAATGCTGACAGGCAAGGAATAGCAGCATATAAGCTATTTAGAATCTTCATAATTTCTTTCCAAGGGAAACATTAAGGAAGAATCATTAAAACTTTTTTTAAGGAAAGAACAGGGATAGGAATGAGAGATTTGTGGTGTTTATCATTTATTATCTTGAAATTGCTGACATTGCCATAACAAACTGCTGAGACCTCTAAAAGCACCCATTGGGAAATTTGAATTTAATTTCTAGGTTGACTTATATGAGGGGAATTACTCCTCAGGTACATAAAGGATTCCTGCAGCCTACTGTCAGTGTGACATGAGTTTCCACGTAGCTTTCCAACAGTAGTAATGAACTAATGTGCATCACATAACTGTCCTCAGCAAAACGGCTTGCCTTCGTGAAACTCTTGTGGGAAGAAGAAGTTAGGATGCAGTTCAATCTCTTGAAAAGCACAAGAGTTTTGTTATTCATGTTGGGCAATGACCTGCACAACAGCAGAGCTATAATATTGGTAGAATCAGAGTGGGTTGGGGATGACAGATGGCCCAAGATGAGTCAGATTCAGCCACATTGATAAGTGAGAGGGAGGTCATTTTAGAGACAGAGGCCAGAGGACTCACTGAAGCTGTAGGTCAAGGTTGGCAGCTGTGCTATGTGACTCTTAGGAGACTTCACATCTGACCTACCCACAAGGGCAAGGATTTACCTGTGAGAACCCCAACCCCAGGAAGTAACCTACCCACCACCTCTACATTTGCAACAAATCTATTTTAAATATGTGGTGAATAGATTGCCTGCAGGAAAGGGAAGATAAGGGAAGATCCCAAGAATGGCACACCTTAGCTAAAAGAAAAGGAGACCATTTTATTACACATTAAAGGAACTTACCAGCCTGAGATTTGAGAAAGGCCATCATAAGACAACCACAAATGTAATATAAGCTAATGTTTATTGAGTGCTAATTTTATGTATTTACTCATTTTGAATCACTTTATATATTTACTCATTTAACTCTCATGACACCTCCATCAGCAAGTACTAGTGTTATCTTCACTTTGTGAATGGAAAAACTAAGGCACTAATCTGTATCCACAAATTAGTAGGTACATAAGGGCACAGGGTGATCCATCTGCTGATTATTGGAAAGGACCCTCCTTGCCGTTCCCTCAGAGTTATGTCATATAATCAATCAGACCTCCCATTCATAGGAATAGAAATTTGTGTGGGAATTCAATCAAGAAATAACAGAATGGAAAACATGTAGATCTATAGAGAGGCACAGTAAATATATAAATATAGACTTAGAAATCCATTTCACGGTATCTGTTCCAATGCATGCTCCCAAACAACTTTAGATTATGGGTATTGAGTGGTGTTTTTACACTACATGGTGATAGTCTGAACTCATGACAGAGTTTGACATTACACCTCTCTTGCTTTTTAGCTACTATTCCAAGTGACTAACCCTGGCATCAAGTATGAGTACACAATCCGAAAAGATGGTCTTGACAATGATGTGGAGAAGCTGGTATACTTCTGGCAGTTCAGTCACTGGACAGAATGCAGTGTAACGTGTGGGACAGGTGAGAAACAGCTGCTGTCACAGCTTCACAGTTGGCCATTTAGGGCGATCTAACACAGTGGTTTGCACTCTGCCCACGGATCTGCAAGGTCCCACAAAGATGGCCCAGGGCCCTTGTGGGCAGTAAATATATAGGGTCTTGGTTTAAAGAGAGAGGCTTTATGCTCCCATCTCATTGGTTGGCCTTAGTCACATTGGTACTATCTAACTGAAAAGAGAAGCTGGGAAATATGGAAGAGCACAAGGACATTTGGGAAGCACAGACTGTCTCTGCTTCAGTGCTGGATGAACTTTCCCGATGCCTATGAAGGCAAGGGTCAGGCGTATTGGCACTGACACCTTCCTTAAGGGGTTTTAATAGTAGTGCCATATTTGAAAACTTCTGCCTCTGTTCCTCTCTTTGGATATGTCTGAATCTGTTCTTGAATTTCTTGCTACCAGCCTACAATCCCTGCCTGTAAAACTAGGGCAACTACCCAATGCAGATGCAGAATGCATGATGTAGCAAAGGGAAAAAAAGCGACAGAGTGAGTGGGCCAGGAGACAAGTTTGCCTCTTTTGTGGGCTTGCTTCTCACATCCTTGGTTCCTGATGCAGGTTTCCTCACTTCCCCACCCCCTAGAAAGTAGTCATGGAATGAGATCCAGCAACAAAAGCCGGGTAAGTGTGCTGTCAACCTTAGAAGCAATTTTTATATTATGACTTCTTCTTTCCACAACACAGCACAAAATCCCAAGTTTAGCTTTTAGAATTCATAAAAATAAAATGCCCCCCTTAAAACATATGCCATTTGAAAATGCTAAGCCCTTAGAAATCTGTTTAGGTCAAAGGTGTGGTCAGTCAGCAGACATCAGACATGTTGGTAAGACAGTCAGATCTGTGATTCCTGGCTACATCTTCAAATATGCTGTCCCACTGCCCTGGCCTGTTTCTCAGGGAAACTGGGCTCCCAGAGAAGCAAAGGCAATTTAAACAGAAAATAAGTGAGAGAAAAACCTTCCCTTGAGGAACAATTATGAGGAAAAAAGAGTTCATCGTGAGTATAGTTACAAGCACTTCTTCAATTTATGATAGCCCCCTCGTTCTCATCTTTCAGTGAAGTACAAGTTGAAGCATTAAGCTTAAATCACTTGTCCCAGGACGCCACAGGGTGACACTAACTAATGCTAACTGGGCAGGGCCTCCTCAAAGAAACGCAGGAACATTCTCTGCCTCCTGTGTTGTAGGACAGGATGAATTCTGATTTGTGTGCGGTATTTCAGAGCTTTGGAATAAATAGATCAGTAGCTGACTTTTGCAATGAACACAAAGAAGCTAAGGGAAATTAGCTAAGAAATTGAACATCATTAACCAATGTGAACCCGACATTTGATTTTGTCACTGCCCCATCCTTCAAGCAGCACATTTACCTGGGTAAATGTCATTCTGATTATTAATCCTTAATGGGAATTATAAAAAAATAGTGTCCACCTGAACTTCAGCCACATTGCCTTTTGGAGGTACCATGAGTTCTTTTGCTCTGGCAAAGAAAAAGACGTAATATTGACTTTAATATTTTCAAACATAAAGGATGAAATAAATGCTAATATTCACACAGGATGCACATTGCCAAATATAAAACACTGAATCATTCAGTAATTAGTTTTTATTTCTATTCAAAACTTTCTACATTATAAAAGTAAATTAAATATAAAGTAAAGTAAATTATATGGTAATGTTAAGAAACTTGTGGCAAATTTATTTTCGTAATAAAGAGTTAAAACAGGAAACATTTTCTTTTTTGGAATTGTTGCATGATTTTAGTATTGTAATTTTTACCTGGTAAACATTTCAAACACACCAGGAAAACAGAGAATGTAGTAACAAATTCCTGTGCACCAACCACTGGACTTTATTAAATCTTACCACTGTGTCATGTTTGTTTGAATTTTTATTTTTAAAGAAAAATAATCCCACAACTACTATTTAGGAGCACACTCCAACTTCACTTCCATCCCCCTTTTCCCTAGAGTTAATTAGGGTTGTGAAATCAGTGTTCATTGTTCTCATATTTATTGTTAAATACTTTCATTGTGCATGTGTATAGCCATATGCACTATATAATATTGTTTGTCAAGAATTTAAGCTTACTATAAATAGTATCATATTCAATGTATCCTGTTTGCTTTATTTACTCAATATTATACTTTTGAGACAAATCCACACTGATAAAAGTAGCTGTAGTTCATTCATTTTAAGGGATTGCATAGTATTCCATTGTATGAATATACCACAATTAATTTACATTCTATTATTTTGTAATTATAACTGTTTCTACAATGCTAAAATGAGTACCTTATAAAAACTGCCTTTTTTACCTCAATGTTTGAGCTTCCATAAAATGTCTACCTAGAATAAAATTCCTGGGTCATACCTCATGGGTTCAGACTTTCAAGGGTAGATCACGCTACATTCTTTTCAATGACATCCTCTTCATAACCCTGGGATTTCAGTGACTGCTGCAATTTTTAAAAAGTAAGCACCACCAGAAAATTAGTGTGAAACAGGAAGATGATGTCTAGTCTCATCCCAAGATTTAAAAAGTTGTGCAGTATCTAGTAGACACATCTCATTAGTAAGTTAATTTTAAATGGAATTAAAATATTATTTTGACTTTTCATTAGTCTTTCCAGATGGCTAAGTTGTTAAGCAATAAGTACTAATTGAGACTCAACTGTTTAATGAGTGGAATGGTTCAATGCTTTTTTTGGCATTCAGGTACCATGAAAAACTTACAGTAAACTTAACAGTGCTGTGAACAGAGAAAGTTAGAAGCCTTTGTGCCAGCATGCATTTTGTCTTTAACTTTCTTTACATCATCTTCCTTTAATTAGGATTCATGCTAAGCAGAAATATTAAATATTAATGTAATCGATTTTATCAAATTTTCCCTTTATTGCTTATGCTTTTGATGTCTGATTCAATTTTAACTAAAACAATTTCCTATCTCAAAGTTAAAAACATATGGTCCTGTATTTTCTTTTAAAAGCTTTAAACTTTTGAATCTCATATAAGGAGTTTAAGCCATCTAAATTTACATTGTTATGTGGTGTAAAGCATCCTAACTTTTTTATGAATAATCAGCTATTCCAACATTTAATGAATAGGACAGCCTCTCTTCATTGGCATTTATCTAATTTGCTTATAGCTGTGTGGGGCTCTGTTCCAGGCTTTTATTCTACTGTATTGAACTAGTTCTCTATAACCTTATTTTAAAAATCTTTTTATTTTTATTTCATTTATTTATTGACTGGCATTATTGGGGTTTGAATTCAGGGTCCCACACTTGCTAGGAAGGTGCTCTACCACTTAAATTATCATATTGTTTAATAACAAGGACATTTTTGTCTCCTTTCCAGATGTTTTATCTTGTTTTTGTTTTTCTGGATTTGTTGCATTGCTTAGGCTTCTAATACTGGAGAAGGAATAGATTACAGTGGATAAGGAACATTCATGAGGAAGCTGTCAGAGAAAATAAGCTCCCTCTATTCTTCCTTTATTATATTTTTCATAATAAATTTTATCTGTCTATAATTTTTTGCAACTACTTAGATGATCATATGATTTTTCTCTAATAATATGCTAATTTGATTATTCTGTGAACAGATTTTCTGCTACTAACTGTACTGCCATTCTTAGATAGTTTACTTAATGTGGTGTAAGGAGATAGACTAGACTGAACTCAGTGGTTGATTCACTTTATCTGCTAGTAGAGAATTTTGAGCAGGAAGGAATATTAAGAAATAACATCCCATGTTCTCCCTTAGGTGACTGGCTAAGTTAGGGTATCATTTATTGAGACAGAGAAAATATGGCAAAAATAGTCAGACTCCTTGTCTTCATATTTTCAAGTTGCCTATGCGTCTGTCAGGGTGTGATAGCAACATAAGTCAGGGAACATCTGTCTATTGCTGTATGCATATGGATGTATTTATGTACATAAATACATATTTTCAGTTGGCATATAACGGGTATTTTCATGTGTTATTCAGTCTTCATTGCTATCATTTTTATGGATGCATCATGTTTGCTGGAAGGTTGACGTCATTATGTATGTTCAATTAAAGTGCCTGTAAAAATTTCCAGTTGAAAATGTCCTAAGGCAGTAACATGTTTTTTTTGAGGTATTTGTCAGCCTGCTCTATCAAGTTTATTTAACGCACGGTAGATGATGGCTGTTCTGATTATTTTGTTGCCTTTCTTAGCAATAGATTTCTTTATATAATTTTGGGTTATTATTTGAAGTTTTGATTAGAGTGTGATTCCTTTGTTTCTTTGACTTTTTTCTCTCTCTTGCTCCTTTCCTCCCTTCCTTTGTGTGCACCACACCCTTTCTAATAATTTTGCAATTTTACCTGACTGCAGTATCTGACCTCTTTTCAGGATTGAGACTTGTTATGACTGTTCAAAACTGCTGTCTCTAATGATGCTGATGATGCATTAGATGTAGTCAGGGGGGCCAGCAGATAGCTTGGCTGACACCCTGTCTTGCCACCTTTCTGGGCCTCAAACTCATTAAGAGTAAAGACTGTCCGTGGTTTGTGACAGGGTGGCCTCCTCTACCTCCTGGGGAGCACGTCGTCTTCTCACTTCACTGGAGCTGAACATGAGGCCGCCAGTGACTTCTCCCCAGGTCCCCATCACAGGGAACTTCACTAAGTCTTGTGTTCAGAGCTGTTTACCTGCATTTGAGCAGAGCACCTTTTTGGTTTTCTCTTTTTTATTTTATATATTTTATAATCTAATGTTTTTACATATTTATATTTTATATGATATTGTTACATAATTTTAACAAAGGCTATTTAAGCATGAATTCACTGAGATGTTATTCTTATTTTGAATATTAAGTTTTTATTATCTTTTTCTGTAATAGAGATCCATGTGAAATATTGACAAGTCAATATAAATTTAGCTAACTGATGTGATAACCAGCTTATTTTCCACAGTCCACTATTTAAAGGT